TTCTTAGAGCAATACAGTTTGTAGCACTGCTGCCATCTCTCCTGTCAGTGTTGAAATCAATCTTCTGTAATTTTTTTTAATTGGACCGCTAAAATGCCTTAAATAGTCGTTTTTCTATTTATTCAGTTTCTGATATTTATTCACCATTAAATACATCCAGTTTAACTTCACAATTGCTTGTTTTAATAAACTTTAATTAATTGCTAGAGGCAATACATCTGGCAACGCTTTTTCAATGATACATTTACGATTGCTGGCAAAGCGCTAAAGTTGAAGTGGTTTTCTTTCGCTGGCGAAGCTGGCCAAATCTGGCCTAGAATCAGCAGCTACATAATATGCCACAATCAGCAGTCAAGGACCAATTCTATTAACCACGAAGGAAGCTTAAATCTCAGGTTGTACTTCAGGTAACCAAAAAGGAGCATTCTCCTTTTGGAACGGGTAACTCCCGTCACTCCTGTATCGTCCTAGGCCGTGTCAATCCTCACCAATGAGGGAAGGCGCCTGAATGGCATCCAAGCCACACACGAACGACAAGCCCCGTAAAACCGACGTGTAGTCAAACCACCACAGTAGCATTTCGTTTGTCCGCAATTCGATTTCTAAACGCACGATTCGATCTGTCAAATGAGCAAACAGATGCTGCAAACGAAATATGCTGTCAGACGATATTTCTTTGATCAGAAAATCGAGACTACTTTGATAATTTTTGAGTAAATATGAGTAACTCAAATTTACTCGCTGCAAATATATTTACTCTGAGTGCAGCTGTCTTGCCCCCAGGTTTACACTTATGGTGGCTCCCTAGGCTGATTATTTTCAAAAATCACCTTCAGCATGAAGTACCGTATGCGTGATAATGTTTTTCTTTGCATGCACCTGTAGCCTATAGCTCATACCGTAGTAGGCTGTGTATAAAAGAAAATGATTTATTTAGTTTGACAGTTGCACCATGACGAAGTGGCAGCGTATTCGTGATTTGTCCCACGTGCAAATGTCGCAAAAAGACATTTCAATCGCCGTAGGAGTGTCCCGGTGAACTGTCAAAAGGGTTTTAAAGGGTGTCCACGATGAAATTGCCACACTATGAGATTGCTCTAACTTTTTAACCGTTGGGTAGAATTTAATGAAAATTTGGGTGGATTTAGTTCATAGTGCATTATTTACATCCTGCAAGTTTTAAAGTCCTGTGATCAAAACTCGCGGAAATGGAGTCGAAAGAACAGTTCGTGCGTGATAAAATCTTGCGCATTCATCACGAGAACAAGGATCTCTCGCATCGTTCCATCGCTAAAACGTTGGGAATCGCGAATTCCACGGTGTCGCGAGTGATTAAGCGGTTCGAGGAACGGTTGACCACCGATCGGAAGCCCAGAAGTGAAGGAAAAAGTATTCCGTACAACACCAAAAATCACAACCGCGTAGTTGGGGCCTTCAACCGAAATCCGAACGCCTCCGTTAGGGATGTGGCTAAAAAGCTGCACCTAAGCCGAAGTTTTGTCCAGAAGGCCAAAACTAAGGCTGGGCTTCGAACGTTCAAGGTACAAAAGGCCCCTAATCGCGACGAGAAGCAGAACAAGTCCACCAAAACCCGTGCCAGGAAGTTGTACCTCAACATGCTGACGAAAGTTGAATGCTGCATCATGGACGACGAAACATATGTGAAGGCCGACTTCAAACAGATCCCCGGCAACCTGTTTTTCACGGCCAAGGATAAGTTCAGTGTTCCGGAGCATGTCCGCACTCAGAAGATGTCCAAATTTGCGAAGAAATTCCTGGTTTGGCAAGCCATCTGCACGTGCGGGAAGCGGAGTGCACCTTTCGTGACCCAGGACACGATGAACGGACAGGTGTACATAAAAGAGTGCCTCCAGAAGCGGCTGCTTCCTCTCCTGAAGGCCCACAACGTCCCAACAATCTTCTGGCCGGATTTGGCCTCATGCCACTACTCCAAGGACGTGCTGAAGTGGTATGCGGACAATAAGGTCAATTTCGTGCCGAAAATGTTCAACCCTCCCAACACTCCGGAGCTCCGCCCCATCGAGAAGTACTGGGCGATTATGAAGCAGCACCTTCTTAAACGACCTAAGGTAGTGAAGACAGTCGAGGAACTGAAGAAAATATGGGTTTACATGCAAAAAACGGTTGATTCACAGGTTGTGCAGAATCTTATGGCCGGGGTTAAGGCCAAGGTGCGGGCATTTGCGTATGGACTGTAAATAAAATACGAGTAAAATGGTAAAATGAAGTTTAATAGTTATTTCTCAATCCCTGAAAATTTGATGGCAATCGGATGAAAACTCGAATTTTGCGAATCAATTTTGTGTGTGGCAATTTCATCGTGGACACCCTTTAGACCGAGAAAAGAAAGGACAACTATCCGCGAAGGTGGCCACAGGTCGTCCGAGGTCAGCTCGGGTTCCGAGTGTTATCGCTGCTATCAAAAGGAAGATTCGGTGAATCCAGTGCGTTCAATAAGGAAAATGGCAAATGAACACGGGATCAGTGACTTTACGGCACGGAAGATCGTAAAAGAATATTGCGGGGCGAAGTCGAGGGCACGAAAAAAAAACTCACATGATTACCAACCGCATCCGGGAGCTACTAGTCGAGCGATGCAAGAAAATCTTGAACTTCCTTAAGCGAAAAAATCCAGTAATCCTGTTCACTGACGAGAGCATGTTTACCGTCGATCCCGTATCAAATTCCAGAACCGACCGGTACAAGAACGTGTCGGAGCATCCTGCTAGCGTTATGGTGTTTGGATTGGTGGCTTCCGATGGCAAAAAAAATGGACCCGGTGTTCATTCCAGAAGGCGACAAGGTCAACACGGAGGTAATTTTTAAGTATGTATGTTCTTCCGTGGAACAGTACGGTCCGAAGCCATATGTTGTATTTCATAATTGCATACAATTGCATACAATATATGGAATATTGCATGACATGTCTCATAAATTTACACGATTTATAATGTAAATTTGTATGATTTATGACGCTCGATTTATGTGCATCATAGTAACGGAAATTTACACTCCTTTTTTTTAGCTGTGTACGTATATATCGCCGCCTGTGCTATGCACCAAGCGAGGCACAAAGCCCATTATTGTTCGGAAAAGGGATGGAAGCTCTTATACTTGGACAGCCGAACTACTAGTCATAGCCGCGAATCCTGGCAGCTAGTCAATGGACGTGTGTGTGCTTTCCCTGCGAAAAAAAAATAAAACTCTATTGATCCATCCACACCAAGAAGAAGGGACCGAAGGAGTACTCCATTTGAAGCTCGGAAAAGCTGATGATCGCACTCAAGCAGACCAGTTTTGGTGAGATCATTCCATTTTTAAACATAAATTAGGAATTTGATGTACATTTGGTGAGATCCTTCAATTATACTACATTATATAAACCATTCATTATATCACATATGTTTGTTAAATTCACTCTTACATACACACTTAGAAATACCTAATCTTACACGAGACGGAATCCATCTTTGACATGAAGGATGAGACGTAAACATGTAAAATTAAGTGCTCCGAGACTGAAAAGTTCAAAAGTACGTTTGATTGCGCTGAATTGCGCGTCTATTATGACTCAATTTTATTTCAAAATTGACGCTCGTATATGTCAGTCTCAGAGTACCTAAATTTACGTCAATTGTCTAAGTGTGTAGCTCGGAGTGTTTAGTACGGTATGTCCACGTATCCTTCCACCCCTGTAGGTTCACGAAATGCATAGCTGATTAAATATATTTATTTAAACTCGAATCATTTCACATCTTTGCCGCAAATGCAACGCCGTGGGCCTATCATATGTCAGATATGCTGTAAACACCAATGTTGACAAAAAAATTAGGCGTTATCTAACCTAATCATTTTCCAGGATGCTTTCTCGTACTGGCTGCATTTTTAGATTAGATGGCCGTGGGCCTGTGTCAGATATGCTGTAAACACCAATGTTGACAAAAAAATTAGGCGTTATCTAACCTAATCATTTTCCAGGATGCTTTCTCGTACTGGCTGCATTTTTAGATTAGATTAGATTAGATTAGATTAGTTGGAAATGCTATCTAACATGAAGCTTTAGCGTGATAATCTATTAGCTAGAGAAAGGTCTGAAGAGGGTAGGTAGATAGTTCCGCTAGAGTACGACAGTATGAAAATTGAATGGAAGTTGAAATGAGCGAAGCGCCATTAATGCGACAGTACTAGTCAAACCCACACATCTTTACCTAACTCATTGAATGGACGAGGAGATTTGAAGTATTTCTTCAATCTACAGGCGTTTGACCTGTGCCTCTTCAGACCTTTATCTAGCTAATAAATTATCACACTAAAGCTTCATGTTAGAGAGCATTTCCAACCAATTCTGAAAATCGTAACCTTCACGAATGAAGTAACATAAAAACACCCTGAATGAAGTTAGTGGGCACTTGAAACTGGAGTGCTGATAAAAATCAGTAGCTGAAAACTGATGATGTCCATTTATGCTAGCAGCTAGCAGACATTACTGACTGAGCGAAGGCGGGCCCCCCTAAAGACGGTAGCAACTGCGATGAATATTTTGACAGTAATCAAATCCTGAAACAATCATACGAACTCAAACCTTTTCGCAAACTGCTTCCTAATCCACCGTCACTGCGTCGGCATTTGCTCTTTTATCATCCCAGCGGCAGCTGTTTTGATAAGAAATTTCCTATGCAAATGGCATCCCTCGCACCGCCTTAAAATCGTCAAATAAACATTTGACAATCCAGAGAATCAACTGTTTATTTTAACAATTCAGGCAAACATCTTAAAAAGCCGTCCCCAAACATTGGAAACAGCAGCACATAGAATATGAATGGTGAAATGGAGAAAAACGACGACGACGACGACGACAGTAAACGAAAATATGCAAATTAGCATAATAATCAAACCCGCAGCCTGGTCGGGCGACAGGCGAACGTCATCGGCAGCTACAGCATATGGCTTTTTTCAAAGATGTTTAAAAAGTTGCCTACATTTCTTAGTGGTGGTCGTTGTTGTTGTTATTGTTGTCCTCCACTGCTCCCGTATCTATCTGACGCTTCACTGCTTCTGATCCGTTTTGACAGTGGGTGTGATATTTATAAACACATTATTCTGCAGTTGGTGTCACTTGAGTATGCACTTTTGTACGGCTATTCTTCTTTTTCTTCTTTGAAACTTTTGCCTTCTTCCTTAACACTTGGTGCTTTTACATGCTTTTCACTATCACATAACACTTCGTTGGCACGTTTGTAGTTTTCAGCATAATTTGAAATTCTCGATCAGGGCTGGAGATTTTCCTCTTCCTTGAATTTTCCACCGACACAAAACTGAGCGACGGCACCCGCGGTTGAAATATTCACGCGGTTAACCCACAGCAGCCACCCGTCACACGCTAACTGTCACAATAATGGGCCCAACGACGCTTGGTGCGACATTTTTCCGCGACAAAACCGACGGCGCGACCGACAAATGCCAGAATGCTAATTAAGTGATTTATTTATTCTTATTCTGCCAATACACCATCCAACCGAGTTTAAAAATCCCTCTTGACGCGCTAGCAAACGCAACTCTTCCTATATGTGTTGTTTGTATAATTGATAATAAAACATCCAAACTTGCAAAAACCTTCGACGTAACTGACATTTAACGATACTTGTTTACAGCAGCAGCAGCAGCAGCAGCAACAACAACAGCAACCAATGATCCCGGGGGTCGCGCAAAGTTCGTGGGAGCCGCGCCCGTGAGCGGGGGGCCGATGATGTTTTCGAGGATTCAGAGCGATGAGAGAACCTGTTCCGAGCACCCATGGCTCGTACCTGCAGACGGGTGGACATTAGAGAGCGGAGAGTGAACGGCAGTGGTGAGATAGAGCGAACACTCTCCCGGAGGATATTCGCAACCCCCCTTGGCGATGCAAAGAAGAAGAGAATTGCAAGAGAGCATGGTTTGGGGCTTGCTGAGCATGCGCTGCCGCCCTCGGAGTCGTCCCTAGTAGGCTCTGCAGTGTTTCCAAGAGGCGTTGGCCTTTGAAGCAAAGAGCGTAGGAGAGCCTTCAATGGCTGCTTGCGAGCGTACGAAGAAGCGGGACAACCCTAGATAGCGCCGGGTTAAGACTCTATTCCAAGATTGGAACAAGTGCTTTGACTGGTGTGCGTGCCGTCTGAAGCAACATAACAGCAGAGGGAGGGGAAATTCGAATCGGAAAACGCATGGAAAACGTGGCAACAGTGCTTCGGGCAGGGCAGGGTTGCCTATCATATGTTTTCCTTTGTTGGCATTGTTCCTCTTGTTCCAAAGTCTATTCCATCTCACTTCCCCCTTAGACGACGGCCAGGCGACGACGCTAGGGCCCGGCTCCGGCAGTCGACGTTGTTACGCCTGAAGGCCGGAGTGGCGCGGCGTGGCCTTTTCTGGCTGTGTCAGTGTAACAAACGATGAATTCTAATTGGATAAAAGGAAATAGCTACATTTTACAAGTTCGACTGTGCCAAGGCTCTCCGGGCTTTGTGCGAGCGTCTCTCTGTGTTCGTACCTGAATGGCATGGCAGTATTCTCTCTTTTCTTGTAAGGTATATGCTTTCTTTTCGTTTTCTTCCTTTCTTCCCCGTGAAAAGAGAAACATTTCAGCTTTTTTCTTCTCTTTTATCCTCTGTTATTCGCCTTTTGGCCTCTTTGTCAGAGTGAAAATGCGCTCGCTCGGTCTCTCGTTCTCTTTCTCTCTCACTCACTCCTTCGCCCATTCGTTGGACTGAATCGGGTGGGTGGCCTTTTGTTGTGTGTGAAACTCCGTAAAAGGATGTAGTATTCTCGGTGCTTTTCAGTTCCCTTTTCAGGAGTGTGTTATTTTGTAGTCGATCAATGTGCTACATACAACAACGGCACTGAAGAGTAGATAGGCACGAGGCGAGCGCGGAAGATCTCTGAATGGAACGCACTGTTTCCTCTGTTGGAAGCATATTCTGTGTAGGAGTAGTTCCTTTTCATGCGCTGCTCTAGAAAGGTAGCAAAATTTAGTTTTTTTTTTTTAAGAAACTGCCGCTTTTGGGATGATTGTTCCGAATAGTTTTCGGAATGAGGTGGAGTCTTATTGGAATTCGTTCAATGGCAACATAGTTCAGTTTTTGGGATCGCTTGACAGAAATATGTTGAACTTTAGGTGTTCAGAAATGGAGGGATTTTTTGAACGCCAGTCATTGCCATCTGCAGGACACATGAAAATGAACTTTCAACTTTCCACAACTCAATGTCGAGTTATAGAAGCATAGCAAAAATTAATGTCATAAAAGTAAGAAGCTGACTGTCGAGATTTTTCCCGATCGATTCTGTGACAGGTGCAAGACACTGTTCCTTGGGGGCTTTTGATCATACTTAAAATTTGAGCAGCTCGCGTTGCTCAACATCATCTACACATAGCAACCTAACCACAAGGCAATGGAAAGGCAATTGTACTTTCGTAAGGAACTACAAAATCGATGGAAGATTTAAATGGTAACTATACGGAACAGCCCTAGAGGTAAGACAGCTTTTGATTTTCGAGTAAATTTTGAGTAACTCTCAGTAACTCGTGCTGCTCACTGTTCAATACACGCAGCAACTCAGTAACCTGATTTGTGTGGTCTGTGTCTTGCAAACGAACTGTTAATACGAAAGAATAATTGAAATTCATCTGCACTTAAATTATATAAAGCATATCTTTTCAAAAGGACGTATGTAATATTGGATAGGAAATTACAAACAGTGGATAGCAATGTCCATATGTGATTATTAAATCCTATTTAAAAGTTAATGCTATTTTTAAATCTGTTTCTGCTATTAGTAGGATGAAGGGATTACGTTTAAGAGAAATGTGAAAAAATTGAGTTTTCGAAAACTCGGACAAGACTTTCTATAAACCAAAATGATACACTTTTTACTTGTGTACTACTCACATACACCTTGATTGATTAGAGATGAACCAGCCTAAGGCTGAAAGTGTCGTTAATAAAAGAAAAAAAAAAAAAAAACCTTGATTGATTCGTCGGTATCACACCTTGTTACATGCACCCTGCATGATTCGTCTTTTTGACAGAGCGGTTTTCACATACGTCAAATCAGATAAGCTCGGAAAGCATTGAGGAATTGTAGGTTGTTGGGTTTATTTGCATAGCTACCCAGAGTTGTGAAATAATCCATGTTAAAAGCGGAGATGAGAGAACTTCTTCTCCGACATTATCAACGTCCTCACGTAGGGTAGAGAACTACTTCGGCCTAATCACCAATTTTGGGCCTATCGAGCAGCAAACTTCAAATAAGTCCATGATTTCAGAGTAAACAAGTCAATTATGCGTTTGGTACGATACCGCGTGATATGAAGGTTTGCACACATTATTCTCAAAAACAAAAGAAGCGCTCCGACCGAATCATGTTTTATCTTCATCCGATAGGCCGAAGTGAATTCATTGGCGTTTCAATGGCGTGTCAATGCGTTAGGCCGAGTTTAGAATCCGTAGGCCGAGTTTGGCGTCAAGAAGCAGTGTTAGACTTTTGACAATATCTCAACGATTGGTTTCTCTTTATCAAATCTTACGGTGCGTACGGAAAGGTTAATAAATTTGGAAGTCATCAGTAATAATAACATTCCGTTTGGTGCTAAACTGCGCTAGATTAAGAGAGACTAAGAGCGGATTGTGCTTAGTAGGCCGGAAATGGGGTAGTTAACCCTACCGCAGTGCGAACATAGATTCGGATGGTGTTGCGTACCATCTACGCTGGAGTGCAGATGGATGACGAAAAGTAGAGGAGGCGAATGAACCACGAATTGCACCAGCTGCTGGGAGAACCATTCATCGTGAAAATTGCAAAAATTGGGCGACAACGGTGGACTGGGCACGTTGTAAGAATGCCGCACGACGATTCAGTGAAAATGTTTCTCGAAAGTGACCCAACAGGAACAAGAAGAAGAGGCGCGCATCGCTCAAGGTGGATCGACCAAGTAGAAGGCGACCCACGGACTCTTAGTCAAGCGTGATTGGTAACCCTAGCAGCACACTTGTCACTGAACAATTGTGGTTACTTGTGTCCAACTTATTCCAGTCACAATCAAGTTGCAACAACTCATTGTGGTGGAAGTGTGTTGCTTGGGAAGGTAAGTAAGAACGTTTAAGTTTTTTTATTAATTTTCCTTGATTTGTTTTCCGTCGATCTTGTTTTCCGTGCTGAGTACCAATGCTACTGACGCCAGAGAGGCAGCTCCCACACCTGGACCCTACCTATCAACCCATCAGCTCATAGACCAGGGACCAACGGCTTTACTTCCCTGGTTTGAATGATCAGAGATGATATGCCTCAGAATATCCCGGTGGCGCCGACTGGGATTGAACCCAGGCGTGCTGGGGTGAGAGGTTATCACGCTTACCAATGCACCACCGGCACCGCTTGCATTTAAATTTGATGAAAGATAAATAGAGTTTAAATAATGTCAAAGTTAAGTAAAACTTTTAATAAAGTTTAATGAAGGTCAAGATACAGTTTAGTTACATTTTAATTAAAGATATGTTATAGCTAAGCTAAAGTTAACATAAAGCTGAGTGATAGTTTAGTTGATGTTTAAATGAAGCTGAATCCGAACAGGAAGTCCGAAGCCGAATTCCAACAGCGAGTCCGAAGCTGGAACACGACAGGGAATCCGAAGCCGGATCTCTAAACATTAAGTTAAATTTAAGTTACTCTTTAGTTAAAGTTAAGCTAAAGTTAAGGTGCAAATCAGATTGGATTCACCCTTTGTATATATTAGTATGTTTTAGCGATTTGAGCTTATGTATTGGATATGGTGCAAGGATACTAACACATGTACTAAACTCGTGTTTATTTTCCTAAAGGTGGGAAGTATTGTAATCTCGCAGATTTAAATTTAACTATAAGATTATCTGAGGCCCCTAAATAATGGATATAAGCATATTGATACTAGTATAGACTAATACTAGCATACAAGGAAGATCAACAGCTGACCGAAGATACAATCGTTGCAACTGCATATGAGGGTCATGACCAGCAGAATCATCATTTCTGGCATCATCATTGCACATGCTGAATCATTTCTTCAGTTTCCTCGGTCATTTTATCACAATCAAAAATACTTCCTTCCGTTTCCATATTCTTAAATAAATCCATATTTTCAATTTACCCGAGTGAGAAACTCTGCAGTTAAAAGCATTAAAAGTCTCCCGTACACTTCCGGAACCAAGTATGTCTCATTGTCGATTCCGAACCTCTGGACTTCATTTGCATCTATGAGCTTATAATGGAACTCATAATCACTATCATCATTATTGACCGAATATTCTGAATCTGATTTCGAAATCACAGTGCGCCCAGGATACGCAGAAGTCACGCACAAATTGAACACAATTTTTGTATACATTAGTAAGCTGTCAGTGCTGCCAAAAGTTAATTTAGTATTGAGACATTATTTCTCTTATTACTCGATATAATCATGCTTGCAATAGGAATGCATTATTATGTATTATAAACATAAATTTGAAATAATGCTAGCAACCAACTGAAAGTAAACACACACACCGTCTGAGACTGTGCCAGCAAAACAGGACTGGTAGTGTGTTTTTTTGTCTCCTTCCACCATTCTCACCGTTGTTTGACAATGATGATGACGTCATATATTTTGCATCGTTCAAGAGAATACCACAACAGGAAAGTGATAGTACGGCGCCGGG